CGTCCCCCTGCCCCCGCATCTCTGGCACCAGGATCTCAGGAGTGTGAGGTGATGGGCAGCATCTCAGGCCAGTCTCTGCTTCCCAGAAGTGCAGCAGCAAGAGCTCGGGTCCGAGTTTAGAAACCTGGATCTCAACGCTGACTGCTCCCTGGGCAAGCCCCTACCTCGCTGAGCCTGCTTCCTGGTGGGAGATGTGTCCGTTACCTTCAGCCTGTCTACTCCCAGCACTGCCTCGAGGACCCAGGAAGCTGAGACAGGGATTCCTTTACAGAGGTTATTGCAGGGACCACACATGAGGGTGTGGTCAGGGATTGAGATGGGCCTGGGTCTAGGGAGCGTGCCTCACGCCATCTCCTCTATAACCCCAAGGCCAGAAACTCCTTCATTTAGCTGCAGGTGGGTCTGCACACGCCAGAGGGACATTCTGCAGCAGGAGGGGTGTGAGAAAGTGAGTCCATCAGAGCGTACTTGCAAAGGGGCATGTGTGTGTGTGTGTGTGTGTGTGTGTGTGTGTGTGTGTGTGTGTTGAGTGTGTGTATGAGAAAGAGAGGACTAGAGATGGAGAGAGAGGATGGACAGCTATCTGAATTCAAGAGCATGAAGATGCTATCTTCTGCCTACAATCATTGGCTCAATGTTTGTTTATTACTGACTCTACTGCATAATCATTACTAGACATGGGACACGTGGATGAATAAGATGCAAGCCCTTGCCCTAGTTGGTTTGTCTCAGTGGACAGAGCACCAGCCCACAGACTGAAGGATCTCAGGTTCAATTCCAGGTTCAGGATCTCAGGGCACGTACCTCGGTTGCAGGCTCGATTCCCAGCCCCTTGCGGGAGGCAGCCAGTCTCTCATATAGATGTTTCTCTCTCTATCTCTCCCCCTTCCTTCCACTCTCCCTAAAAATATCTTCAGGTGAGGGTTAACAAACAAAAGGATGCAAGCCCTCCATCCAGAAATGGGTATTCAGGTGGGGGCACGGACGGAGGACACAGGCACCGCCTGGACATGACGCTGATGGAGGCATGGGGGCCACGGGGCCAGGGAAGAGCAGCCTGGGGCAGAGCTGAGATGAGCAGGGGGCAGGGCTGGGCAGATGGAAGGACTGTCGGGCTCTGCAGAGAAACCAGCCAGAGGGTCAGGATAGCCCCTCTCTCCTCTCAGAATCCCAGACACTAAGATCCATGTCGCATGGAAAGTGCTCCATGGGAACCCGCACCAGGGACCCACCCCGGGGACCTGGCCTTTCCCTGACCTGCCTCAGTCCTGAGCTTTCTGTGGCTGAGGCTCGGGGAGGTGGCCCACAGCTGGTGCCAGGACAGGACCGTGTCTCCCAGCCCAGCACAGAGCACCAAGTGTTCACACAGCCTGGCTCTGTGCCAGGCAAGCCCTAGGAAGCTGGTGTACTGCCCAACCCAGGTGTTTGCTAAATATTTGCTAAATAAATGGCTGTGGGAGCAGGACCAGGCCTGGAGCAGGTGAGCGGAAAAAGATCTGTCTAATGCAGTGACGGCGAACCTTTTGAGCTCAGCGTGTCAGCATTTTGAAAAACCCTAACTTAACTCTGGTGCCGTGTCACATATAGAAATTTTTTGATATTTGCAACCATAGTAAAACAAAGACTTATATTTTTGATATTTATTTTATATATTTAAATGCCACTTAACAAAGAAAAATCAACCAAAAAAATGAGTTCGCGTGTTACCTCTGACACGCATGTCATAGGTTCGCCATCACTGGTCTAATGTATAGACCAGCCCTCGGTGGATTTAGATGAGACTCTGTGTGGGCATATTACATTTGCTTAATGATTTGGGGGCTTAATTGTGTTTTTGCTTATTCATTATTTATTGCACTGAGTCCTACAATTGTCGTAATCCAATCCTTGGAAGGTGTTTCTTTGTCTCTCTCAGGACTGAGGAGCATAAAGGTACTACAGGACCAGGTGCCCCCTGCTGGTCCTGGGACTACCTATTGTTTCTTAGCTGCCTTGGGCATACCTGGGGGGCAGGGGGACCACAACCCCTTCCCTGTCCTTCCTGTCCCTGAAATCGGCTTCCCCCACTTGATGCCAGCAATCCCCTTTCCTGGTGGTCCAAGCTGCTCTGTGGCCCAGAATCCTCATTGGTGCCCTTTTCAAAGATGAGCTGATCAGGTTCTTCTGCTCACACCCCCACCCTTGACCTTGACCTTTTCCTGTAGGAACATGGTTGGGAAAGGCCGTCTTCCCCACGGGACTTAGGACTGCGTGCGCTTTGCACACCACTGTAGCCAGAATTCCTGTCTAGTGCCCAGCCCAGAGTGGGCACTTCACCAGCCATGTAGGATAAGCAGAGCTGCACCACCTGGCACAGATGTCAGCCAGGGCCCTGAGATGAGCTTTAAGTTGGAGCTTTCTAGGACGCACCAGGCAGGCCCCTGTCCCAGCAGCTCAGCACACGTGCTCTGAATCTGCCCACATGCAGCCAGAGGGTGAGCCTGGGCCAGACCATTCATTCAGAACTGTGCCCGGGCAGGCTTCCTGGCACCCCCACTCCTGCCCCTTCAGCTCCCCTTTGATTTGTCTTACATGCTGGATGTCTCCAAATTTAAAGAGTTTCTCTTGCATTAAAAAAGAAGAAGAAGAAGTTTGCAAACCAGCAATGCAGGGGAAAGGACAATGGGTGCCGGCCTGGGACATCAGGGTCCTCACCCCTCTGGTCACGGTTGCCTGCACTATCACATGGAGTCACAAGGCCCTCCTTACAGGGTTCACACGGCGGTGTATACACGGCTCCCTGCATGGCAAGTGCTCGGCAGACGTTCTTTGGTGCTGCAGTTGATAGCTGATCCTCTAAGGGCTGTGAGTGCCGTGGGCCTGCGTTCCTCACTCACTGCTGGTTTTTCCAGCACTGGGAGGGGCATCTCTAGTTTCTAGAACAGTCCTTGATTCCCCTCTCCTGCACGTGCTTTCCTAAGGCCCTACCCCGTGCTGAGATGACATTTGCACCATTCCCCACACCTGGTTCCCTGATCAGGCGTTAGGAGCATGACTCTCAGAGCCAATCCTCCACCCCACCCCCAACTTAGCCAGAGCCCAGCTCCTGACTTAGATGCGCAGTTAAACCGAGGTCTGGGAAACCCGCCTCTTCCTGTGCAACCAGATCCCCACTCCCTCACAGAGCCCCCAGGGCTGCGGGTGTGCAGCCTGCATTCTGGCCAGGCAGGTTCCTGCCCAAACCCTTCTTAACTTTGGGAACCCATCCGTCACCCCAGGCAGAGATGGCAGAGCCAAAACAAGGAGGGAGGAATCCAGGCCAGGAGAGCTTGTAGCATCATCCTGGCCACCCACGTGGCTGCAGCGTGGGGAGGCGGTGTGGGGGCCGACCTTAGAGATTTATCTCCGGGACAATGCCCTGGAG